TAGGGGCTAGAGTGGGAGGCAAATGTTTTGAGAATGATGAGGGCAACAAATGTGCATATGTGCTTGACACAATGGATGTATGTATAGACTGTGATGAGAATTGTATGAGCCCCCAATAAAATAATTTAAAAAACAACAAAACTCGCTGATAGTCCAGGTAATTCTCCATTTCTTCAATGGTTTGTGATAGATCTTCGAGCACATGTGCACAAATGTTGTCGACATTTTCATCCATTCAGGAAGTTGATAGATGTCCAGAACGAGGTTTGTTTTCAATCTACATTTCACCTCTTTTGAAATGAGAAAACCACTCATACACTTGAGTTTTACCCCTAGTGCTGTACTTGGAAGCTGTGTTCAGCATCACAACAGTTTCTCTGGCATTTTTCCCCGAGCAGAAAACAAAATTCCACAGCCACATGTTATTCTGTTAAACCAGCCATCACAAAGAAATGAGGTTTGAGTGAAACCGCTTTCATGAAAAAGTTCACTGAGACTAGAGAGAATCTTAACAGGGCACGCCAATGGGTGCAGTAACTCAGAGTGAGTTTCTTGATGCGCACACAGCGGGGGAAAAATATATACTAAGAAAGCTCTGCCCAGTGGAGCTTTTTTCCGTTTTGGGGGGAGGGGTGAGGGTGGTATCCATTCATATTGATCTTGAATTTAATTGTAAAGCTAATCTGAGAACAATTAATTCTTATAATATAGCCCTTATCAATACTTTCCCTTGTGGATGATCACTAAAGATACGGGTATCATTCACTGACTACAGTGAAGTAGTCAGCTGGTGCTCGGCTATCAGACATAACAATGTCTGGGTTCTGAAAGCCTGTGTAAAAGATAAGCAACTAGCTAAGAATAGGTATTGACAAGCCCATGTGGAAAAATTACTGTGTGACCAGAAGTTTTTAACATAATCCATGAGTAGAGAAGGTATTGTATGAGAGCTTAAATTTCTGAGCACTGAGGTTGAGGAAGGCTATAGTGTACAGTGAAAGCTTGAAATGCATTTATTAGTCTACACATAAATTCAGCCTCCATTGAATTCCTTTTGACCTGTAACCAGCAGTGGGAATAGTTCTGCCCTCAGACAGTGCATTAGAGGGTGGATTGCTGCCATTCTCCTAGCCCAGGATTTCCCAAAGTGAGCAACACTGTCCTTGGGAGCACTGGAACAAGCCAGGTGTGGTTGTAAAGACTGATGCTGGATTATGGACAAAGTTTTTAATTGCCAAGGGGGCACTGAGTAAATTTTCCTGAAAAGTGGAAGGTAGGCCTATCATTTTGGGAGCCTAAGCCCTAGCCTTTCCAGAAAGAAGCAGCAAAACCCTTGGGGACTCACCTGGGTGTGCTCTCCATGGAAATTGGGGTGCTAGGGTTGCATGACCATGAGTCACACCCTAACTGCCTTGGTTAGAGGTCCCTGAACCAATCCTGTATGCTCTTCTGCTTAGCATAATGTACATGTCCCAATCATGGTCCCATTCCTGCTTCTGTGGTCCTTTCTACAACTGTGATGGATTGATCTGTTGCTAATCATGCTTTTGTGACAGTTTACTTTGCCCTCTGCTGTCTCACTTAAGTCTCTAGTTTTCTGTAAACCCTTCAATACAATGACAACATCATTCTGATGATCTCTCTCCTCTACATGGTATATCTTTGTCTTGCCTTTTTCTGTTTAAGACTTACTTAATAAATGTTTTCTTTAAGTTATATTTGAGATTTGGGGTTTCTTTTGTACTCTAAAACAGGGCACACAGATTGCTGCAATCTGGAGAAGCTCCCCAGTCTCAGCTCTTGAGAGCACGTGGATTCACTCACTTACTATCATCAAGTCACGCTGTGTCTTTCTACTCAGTAAGGAGTTAGTCTCAGAGACTCGTAGATGCAGTTCTCCTCTCCCCTATAGTGTCTCCATGAGTTGGAATCCACAGACAGCAGTGGAACCATATGGAGGAGCTCAAAATTCTATGAACAGGGGAAGCAATATTGGTAGAACATCTGGTACTTCAGTTAGGAGGTAGTGGTGCCTAGAAGGGTCCCTACAAGGGGCACAGCACCTGGAGGCACAGGCAGAGATGGAGGTAACATCTCCATTCCAGAAGGTAGCACAAAATGTAGGGAGAGTGAGAGGCAAGAAGAGTACTGAAAACCAAAGAGAGTTGCAAGACACTGCATGAGAAAAGGCTGTAGGATCCACTTCTGCCACCTCTGCTTGGGCATCACTAAAGCTGTGACTATGGGAAGGTGGCAGAAGGCAGCGGGTAAGGAAGTTATGTAATTTTCACATAACACTGATTTTCAAATAAGTACTGGTCTTTGGAATATAATCACATCAGTAAACAAGAGACGAGTATATTGTATTTTTTTAATTTGAGGCTATTTACATTACTGAAGAATATTGACACTCAAGATCTTCACTCTTCAGTTGGCTGGTATCTTCTAAACAGCAATCCAGTCAAAAGAAAAAGTAACTGGTCCACACTATTAATTTGTAATTCAGAGTCCCCTACATTTCCATAAGGTACCAGCTCTTTTATTAGGAATGGTCTTAAGTATCCACCTGTACTGAATCTCATTAGTGCTTTGTAAGGCAGATCTCTGTGCGTGCAGGGAACAGGGGGATGGAGGCCAGGGCAGTCATATTTTTCCTTCCCTTTCCTGTTTTCAAGCTACTTGCTAGCGCCTGGTGGTCAGGACCCTGACAACAAACCCCAGGATAAGTGTGGCTGATGCTGCCCCTAGCGCAGCCCCACGGCGGATGGCCAGCTGTTTCATTGATAATGTGTTGGCAGACACCAAAGGTTCCAGAGATGTTTCTGGCATCTTGAAGAGATCCATTTGGGACTCGGGACTTGAGTATGTTGTCAAAGTAATGCCAGGGGAGCTGCCCATGGCCACTGCAAAAGCAAACAGGAACAAAGTCAGGCAATGCTGTGGACAGGTGAAAGATTTTAGCTTTGGAATTAAAAGGTATACATTAACTGCCTCACTCCACTATAGACTGGTTTTCAATTTCTATGCCTTTCAATAGAAAAGTTCTGTGCAACAGAAAAATACCTGCTTTGTCTATTCTATTAGAAGCATCAGATGAAGGAATATATGGGAAAATGGATGTGAGTTGATCTAATAAAGTTTACTGTAGTGAAACATTGTCCTGTTCCCCCTGGGAGGTTACTTGGCTGCAAAGACTTTGATTAACCTTGAGTGTCGGACTACTTGCATGTGCCAGGAACTTGGCACAAACACACATTGATAAGATGGTTCCTTGTTACAAACAGGACTCTTCCTTAAAGCAAAATGCATCAATGTGCAATGATGTTTGTTAGTTAACCATTATGAGATGTCTTAAGCCTTAAGTTGTTGTGCCCTAGTACAGCCCCGGAGTTCGAACTTTTGTATACTTCCTCGATTGGTTCATGCTTTGGCATGCTAATAAAAACTGGCAAGCAGAGAAACCCAGGAGTCTTCTCTCGCTTGAATCCCTCTCCCTTCCCCTCATGACTCAATGTTGTGTCTGGAGCAGTTATTCTGTGCATCGCAGGTAGGTCCCAGCTGGCTGGGTGCTACAGATTAATACTCAATCAGATGTATCTTTGTCTCAACCTGTCCTTATGATTACATATGTCACCTAGAATGTTAATTTTGTGTATTATTTCAGAATAGTATGTACTTACTTAAGTTCGTTTTATAAAATTCTCTCTTGACCACTTTTGGTATCAGCATTTTAGTCAAGGGGCTCACAGATACACCTGTCGGAAGCCCTACATGAGATATGATGCCTCCGGTATAGTCTGTAAGAGCTGTGAGCTACATATACAAATACCTGGCATTCAGTGCCAGCTCTGGAGTACAAGTGAACCCCTCTGCCCCAGAGCTGGGGCCACCACTTTATTGCATAGACAGTGAATGTAAACCAGAGCAGTTTCTTCTATTTGATGACCAAGGCTGACATCTCTGGACAGGACAGGCCCCTGTGTGCAAAGACAAAGGATACATTCTGTTCCCTCTGTCCTGGAGGGAGTTTAATTGAGTGAGGATGTGAGTGCATGAGTCAGACAGACTTGTGGTTGCATCTAACCTCTTATCTTTACTAGTTGTAGAATGATGGGGGAAATACCTAATCTCTCTGGGACTTGGTTTCTCACTTCGAGTTGGAAATATATGTCACTTTTTCGCAAATCTAGACCTGTAAACTACTTGTTGCAGTTTCTCTAACCGGAATGCTTGTAAAACAATGGATATTTACTGTTTCATAATTCTAGGAAAGTAGGCAGCTTGGGTTTACATGGTTTCCAATCACATGATCCACACAGAAGCTTCATGGTGGTGCTAGGAGCCTACCACAGAATAAGTGCTCCATAATATTAAATGAATGAAGCTGGTTGTCACATAGAAGACAGTCAGAAACCTGTATCCATGACAGGTTTGTGTATACCAAGCAAACTATATTATGACATTACCTGAAGATACAAGCACCTTTTCAGACCAAGTTCTGGGGACTGTACACTCTGTCTCATGCTGCTGCAGGCCGGCATGTTTCTGAGCCTAAAGGAGAAAGAACTATCTGTGTCAGTCCACTAGCCCTTTCACCACCACTCACCTGATATACCTCCTGCCTCGGAAATATCATAAACTAAAGCCGAGCATATCCTGGTGGGATAAAGGGTTATGATTTCGGGCAGCAGTTTGAAACCACCAGTCTCTCCAAGTGACTTTCTACTTTCTTAACTATTTCGTTTCTGAAATCCACAGTTATCCGTTTCTTTTGGAAATTACCAGTGTGCATCCAGCTTTGAGAAGTAGAAACTCCAGGGTCTGTGTTAGGCCACATGTTATATTCTTGGTGGTTGTTTCTGTAACCTGCCCTATGCTCTTCTAAAGAATTCAATTATGTTCAGAATACAGACTCCAAAGGTCAGCTATGTTGAGTAAATAAGTATTTATTAAATTTTAAACAGTGCTTCATGGAAATCCCCCTTGACATAAATTTGTTTCTAAGTTCTGTTCCTACCCTTTTTCCCATGGCAATACTGATTAGATTTTGTATAAGAAATTTGGAAATTTTTCTCATCTTCAGAACATTTCAACACTCTAGTTGAAATGTTACCCATATTTTAAAATCTGATATTCAATAACCTTCCATTGATTTTTATTATTAGCTTTGTCCGATTTTGCTTTAATGTTAGTTTTATTGTGTGTGTTTAGTGTTGTTGTTTTAAATCTGTATCTTTAAAATGCCAGATGATTTTATCTACACACACACAAAAAGCAAAACCATATCCTTGTCTTTGAGAGACGACCTACCTCTTTGCTGTGTATTGTTGTTGTTAGGTGTCAACCAGTCGGCTCTGACCCATAACGACCCTATGCGCAACAGAACGAAACATGGTATGTTTCTGTGCCATCCTCATAATCAGTCCTATGCCTGAGCCCATCAATGGACCCACTGTGTCAATTCATCTCGCTGGGGACCTTCCTCTTTAGCCGCCCCTCCACTTTACCAAACATGCTGTACTTATCTAGGGACTGGTCTCTCCTGACATATCCAAAGTATGTAAGATGAACTCTTGCCATCCTTGTCTCTAGGGAGCACGCTGGCCCTACTTCTTCCAATGCAGATCAGTTTATCCTTTAAGTAGTCTATGGTCCTTTCAATATTCTTCTCTACCACCACTTTTTTGTCAGTTTGTTGTACTGTGGTGACTTGTGTGTTGCTGTGATGCTGGAAGCTCTGTCACAGGGATTTCAAATGCCCGCAGGGTCACCCAAAGGGAACAGGTTTCAGTGGAGCTTCCAGAGTAAGAACAGACAACAAAGAAGGACTTGGCTCCCCACTGCACTGGAAGAAGCTGCTGAAAACCTTGTGCTTAGCTTTGAAGCATTTTTCCTGTTGTGTAGGAGTTACAAATGCTGGTTTGCTCTGTTTAAGATTTCATCTAAGAGGATGACCTCTTCCAAAGTCAAGAAATATTTTGTGGGCTCCTTTGAACTTAAGTTGGCTTGATTGAGCTTTTATTTGGATTTTATTTGGATTTCAGGAGGGAAGATTTGATAAAGACAGTTTGGGTTTGGGGTTCTCTTTGTGCTGTGGAGTATGTTTAGCATGCCGCAGGCCCAATTAGAATGATAGTAGATGTTGAGTTTCAGGTGGCCTGATTCTCCCACAGCCTACCCTTTGCTTATACCACACATCTCTCTCTGCTGTCAAATATTGGTGTGCTCAGGCATTTTTGACTGAGCAGCCATGTTCCTGTCTTGTACCAGGTACAGCATATGTCTTAATGAGCTAAGTATTGACTCACCTCCTCTGCAGCTAACTTCCAGTTAATCTGTGCAGTGTAGGTAACAAAGGCAACTGCTGCCAAAAGGACACAGGCCAACATGCCCAACCAGAGGCCTATAGGAGACAAATGACAATAGGTAGCATGTCCAATGAGAACCCCGGGCTTTTCCCTATCTTTTCCTCGAACCTCATACCCATGATTCTCATTCTAACCACAAAGATCAGAATGACACCCAGTGGGAGGCCGATGACATAATACATGATCAAATTCACAATGGCTCCAAAGGTCTGCTTGCCAGTGCCTCTCAGTACGCCACCATAGACACACTGTCAAGAAAGGAAGAAAGGGACTAGAGATTAGTAAGGATGCGATTGATAGCTATAACATGACAGGTACTTTTGTAAGAAATTTACATTTTATTGTCTCATTTAGTTTTTGCAATAGCAGTGTAGTGGTTACACATTGGGCTGCTAGGCTCAAGGTCAGCAGTTCAAAAACACCAACCAGCTTTGTGGAAGAAAGATGAGACTTTCTACTTCCATGAAGAGTTAATAATAATAATGATAATAATGGCTAGAGGTATAAACATAGGTGTGTCATATGTAAATACATTAACTCATAAAAATAGAGGTATTGGCCTATGTACATATATTTATATGGCAATACCCTGAGGTAATGGACGGACTTTGGGCCTCTGCTCAAGCCAGGCAAGAACACTTTGTTCTAACAACCTGGCACTCTGTGATGCTCACCCTCCTGGCATGATCACTGAAGAGAAAATTGGCATATAAGCAAATGTGGTGAAGAAAGTTGATGGTGCCCAGCTGTCAAAAGATATAGCATTCGTAGCAGAGAAGCAACAAGCCCACATAGAAGAAGAACAGCAGCCTGTTTTTATTAAAATAAAGTAATGAGATGTCGATGGGATTAGGTAACAGGCACCAGACCCAAAACAAACAAACAAACAAACAAACATGAAACATATTGTTGAGAATGAGAGGGGTCGGAGCAGAGACCCAAAACCCATCTGTAGACAATGGGACATCCCCTCACAGAAGGGTCACAAAGAAGGGATGAGTCAACCAGGGCACAGTGTAGTACTGATGAAACACACAATATTCCTCTGGGTCCTTGAGGCTTCTTCACCCCCCACTATCATGGCCCCAGTCCTGCCTTTCACTGCGGGTTACACCGGAGCATGTACACAAGTACAGGTAAGAGATAAAAGCCCATGACACATGCAATCCAGGAAGAGGAATGGGAGTAGTGATACCAGGAGGGTAGGGGGAAGGTGGGGAGAGGAGAGAAGGAAGAGGGAACCAATTGCAATGACTGACACATAAACCTGCCGCCGCACCACCACCCCACCCCCTGCCAGGGGGGGCAAACAACAGCAACAGTGGGGGGAAGGAGACATCAGTCGGTGTAAGATATGAATATAATAATAATTTACAATTTATCAAGGGGTCACAAGGTGGGAGGGGGAAGTGAGGAAAAAAAGAGCAGCTGAAAAAAAAATTAAAAAAAAAAGAGCAGCTGATATCAAGGGATCAAAGAGAAAGTAAATGTTTAGAAAATAATCATGACAGCATATGTACAAATGTGCTTGATACAATTGATGTATGGATTGTTATAAAAGCCCCCAATAAAGTGAGTTTTAAATAATAATAATAATCACTGCCATCGAGTCACTGCCGACTCATTGCCACCTCGCTGTGGATTTCCGAGCCTGTGACTGTTTACAGGAGTAGAAATCCCAGTCTTTCTCCTGCGGAGCCGCTGGTGGTTTTGAACTGCTACCCATGTTGATCGCAGCTCAGTATGTAACTCCTACATAACCAGGGAATCCTACACTGTAAAGAGTTACCATCTTGGAAACTCACAGGGGCAGTTCTACACTGTCTTATAGGGTCACTATCAGTCAGCATTGACTCAATGGCAGTGAGGTGAGAAGAATAGTGTGATAAATTGAAGTGTGTTCCCCCAAAGTATGTTGGAAGTCCTAACTCCTAGTACCTGTCTATATGCTCTTGTTTGGAAATAAGGTCCTTGGACATGTTATTAATTAAACTAAGATAAAGTCACATGAGAGTATTGTAGGTCCTAATCCAATCTGAATGATATCCTTATAAATGAGGAGAAAGATAAATATAGAAAAGATGGCCAGATGATAATAGTTTGCAAGTGCCACAAGCAAAGAAACACCTGGGCTACCAGACATCAGGTCTGGAGAATGGCTCTTCCCCTTAGAGCCTTTGGGGGCAAGATAGATCTTTACATTTCCTGAACTTGGTTTACTAGCTTCCAGAACCATGAAGCAATACTTTTCTGTTCTTGCAAGTCATTGAGATAGTTGTTTGTTTTGGAAGTCCTAGGTAACTAATACAGATGGATATACTTAACCCTTTTCACTCCATGAGGAAACTAAGTTAAAGAGAGTTACACTTTTCCAGTGTTACAAAGCACACAAAAATGCAATTTCCAAGGCCCCAGCACTCTGCTTTGCTAGAAAGTATAGGTAGAAGTAATGCAAACCACTAGGCCAGGACTCTGGAAGACTGGAATAACTATATGGCAGAGACACATGCATTAGTTTCCCATAACTGCTGTAGCAAATACCACAAATTTCATTGCTACAGACAATAAACATTTATTATTTTATAGTTCTGGAGGTATGTTAGTCCAGGAAGAGTAGAGAAACAAATTCATAGACACTCATGTGTATAGAAAAGAGCTTTATAAACAAGAGCAATTGAATATTGAGAAAACATCCCAGCCCTGTCCAGATCAAGCCCATAAGTTCAATATTAACCCATATGTCTGATACCAATCTATAAAGTTCTCTTCATACTCATGAAACACGTGCAATGATGCTGAATTCAGGGAGATCACAGGCAAGTGGGTGGAAAGTCTTGTGGATCCAGTGATGTTGAAAGCATCTCAGCACTGGCGTAGGTCTCCACGTGGCTCCTCCAGGTCCAGGCCTCTTGCTGCCATCAGCATAACAAGACACACCATTTGTCTTGTCAGTTGAAGGTCTCTCTGGGAGTAAGCATGTGTCCTACCTCCAACAAGGTACTTATCTCCTTAGTGCCTCCAAATGAGGTCATCAAGCTGCGATCTGATTGACAGGCCAAACTCCACCCCATTCACTCATAAGTCTCAATTTGATGATGGATTATGTAACTAACACAGTCAAGTGGCTTGGCATAGATAAACACAAGTAAACATCTTTCTAGTATTCTCTGCTTTCAGCTAAGATCCAGCTGATATCAACAATGATATGTTTTGTTCCATGTCCTCTTCTGAATCCAGCCTGAATTTCTGTCACCTAACTGTCAATGCTGCAACCACTGTTGGATGATCTTCAGCAAGACTTTACTTGCATCAATGATATTGTTCTATAGTTTGCACATTCTGTTAGGTCATCTTTCTTTGGAATGAATACAACTATGGATCTCTTCCATTTGGTTGGCTAGATAGTGTTCTTGCAATTTTCTTGGCATAAATGAGTGAGTGGTTCCAGTGCTTCATCAGCTTGTTCAAACATTTCCATTGGTATTTCATTAATTCCTCCATCCTTGTTTTGGATAATGTCTTTAGTACAGCTTGGACTTCTTCCTTTAGAACCAGTGATTCTTATTCATATGCTACCTCTTGAAATGGTTGAATTTCAACGATTTCTTTTGGTACAGTGACTCTATATATTTTTTCCATCTTCTTTTGATGCTTCCTGCATCATTCATATTTTTCCCATAGGATCTTTCAATATTGCAACTCAATGCTTGAATTTTTATTTAGATCTTTCAGTTTAACATATGCTAAGCATGGTTTTACTATTTGGTTCTCTAACTCTAACTCTTTGCACAGTTCAAAATATGTTACTTTCTCTTCTGGAGATGTCCTTTGAATTTTTCTATTCAGCTGTTTGACTTAATCATGTCTTCTATTAGCCTTTGCTATTCTATGATTAAAAGCAAGTTTCCAAGTCTTTTGTGAAATCTGTTTTGATCTTTTATTTCCTTCATTTCTGTTTTAATGACTTTTTGATGTTCTTGATGTCATCCCACAGCTCATCAGGTCATTGATCATTTGTGTTCAATGCCGCAAATCTGTGCTTGAGATGTTCTAGAAATTCAGGTGGGATAGACTCAAGTTTGTATTTTGGTTCTCATGAACTTGTTTTAATATTTTTCAATTTCAACCTGAATTTACATATGAGCAATTGATGCTATGTTTCATAGTTAGTCGTTGGCCTGGGTTTTGCTGCTAATGTTGATCTTATCCATCATCTTTTCCCACAGATGTATTCAACTTGACTTCTGTGTATCCCATCTGGAGAAGTCCCTGTGTATAGTTGCCTTTTGAGTTTTAAAAACATTTGCGATGAAGAAGTTATTGGTCTTGCAAAATTCTATCATGCTGTTTCCAGATTAATTTCTATCACCAAGGTCATATTTTACAACTACTGTTCCTTTATCTTTGTTTTAAACTTTTGCATTCCAATAGCCAATAATTTTCAATGTATCTTGATCGCATGTTTGATCAATTTCACACTGAAGAAGTGGTTAGAATTCTTCAATTTCTGCATCACTAGCATTAGTGGTTGGTGCATAAATTGGAATAATAGTTCTTTGTATTGAGTGGATTTCCTGGGTGTGGGATAGATATTATACTATTACAGACAACTCTGCACTTCAAGATAGATCTTGAAAAGTCCATTTGAATAGTGAATGCAGTCCCATTCCTCTGGAGTCTGTCATTCATGGCATTGTAAACCATATGACTGCTGATTCTAAATAGCCAATATCAGTCCATTTCAGCCCACTAATGTATTCACTAATGTAGGATAATGATCTTTATATGTTCCATTTCATTTTTTACAACTTCCAATTTTTCTAGATTCATACTTCATATATTCCCAAATCCAACTATTGATAGATATTGCAATGATTTATTCCCATTGTCAGTCATACCTTATCAGCAAATGAAGGTCCTAAAGGCTTCCCTCTCAAAGGCTTTACTCCATCCATGTCATTATGGTCAACTCCACTTTGAGAAGGTCACTCTTCCTCGGTCATGTTTTGAGTGCCTTCAGACCTGAGGGCCTAATCTTCTGGTTCTATCTCCAACAATGCTCTGCTTCTATTCATTAGCTTTTCAGTGTCTGACAAGGTTTTGCTGCTATCCATAAGGTTTTCCGTGGCTAATCCCTCTGAATCAAGCAGCTGGTTCCTTCTTTGTGCTCTGTTCTTCATCTGGAAGCATCTATAGAGGCCATTATTCTGTCCACCACAAGCTTTGTGCAAAGGTGGTCTCTCACTCT